GGGCGGGGAGCGCTGTGAGGAGTGACTGTCCTTGGAGTCCTGGCTGCAATGTGTCACTGGTCCCCACCCTCAGTGTGAACGGAAACCCCTTGAGACCCATCCCCTCCAGCCTGCTGCTGAGAGCCCATCCTGGAGGGATTAGGGCTTTTCGTGAATCTGGGACCCCGCCAAGAAGGCTGGCCTGGGTGGGGCTTCAGCGATAGTGGGGAGAGAGCCCCCAGCTGCAAGGATGCTGGGCAGCGTGAGGAGATGAACAGAGAAAGGGAGATGGGCATGGAGGGCTCCGTGTCAGCCCCCACTCCCTGCCTGTTCCTCCCTGCCCCTTTCTCTGCTTCCACCCCCACCGCTTGGCCCAAGAGCCCTTTGCGTCTCCCTTTGGGCCCAGCCCACCCCCCACACCCAGCTATTGCACTTACGGGGCTTCCACGTTCCCCACTGAGCCTGTCCAACAGCTCCATCTTCATAACTTCCAAATCTCACATCGTCTGTGCCTGGAAATAGGAATTATGATCCCCATTTTACAGATGAGGACGTTGAGATGAAACTGCCTGCCCCAGGTCACCACTAAGAGCTAGCTGAGCTGAGACGCAGGGGCCGCTCACCCACCTCCTGCCCTCCCCTGATTCATGGCTGCGTTTCTGCTGCCGAAAGACGTGACCGAGCTTATTTCTGGGTTCCGGGAAGTGAACTGGCCGGTTCGGTTTGCAGGAAGCTGTTGTGACTGTGTTGTCATGGGAAAAGCATGTGGCACTTACTGGGTCCCGGTCTGGGGACGGGGTCAGGCACGGGGCTCGGGGCTCTCCATGAGTATTTTTACCCGCGTCGACCTTCTGAGACAGGCTCTGTGGTGTCCCTTTTGGACTGGTGAGGACGCAGAAACTCAGGGAGGTTAATGAAGCAACTTGCCCAAGGCCACACGAGTGCCAGAATTAGAGCCATGTGACAAGAACTTGGTGCCAAGCGTTCACGTGGAAGGTGGTCCCAGGAAGCAGCGTGAGGGGTGGGAGTGGAAGACAAGGTGGGAGGAAGCCCAGGTGAGGTGATGAGCTGGCGTCCATGGGGACAACCACGTGGAAGAGTGTCAGAATAGCCCCCTGCTGAAGGCTCGGAAGCTGGGTTACTTCTCCGCACACTTCCTGCCTCATCAGCGGAGGTTGCCTGCCCCCCGCCCCCCGCCCCGGGACATGAACACCGCATAATTCTAGGTCCCTCTGTTGTGAGGCTGAGCTAACTCCCCTGGCGCCAGAGGAAGCCTGAGGCTGAGAAGTGTCCCCGGCAGCTGCAGGGACCCCCGGCTGGGCTCCCATGGGGCACGGAGCATCGGGTCTGTCTGACTAAAGTCTCCCCGTTCTGAGTGCCTCCCAGCAATGCCCCAGCAGCCCCTGTTCCACATGCACATTCCAGGCCCCCCACCTGCCCCTGGGAATGTCTGGGGTGGGCCCAAGATCTGCATTTGGACGAAGGGCCCCGGGTACCTTGGATGTGTACACTGGAGTTGGAGAACCGTGGTGCCCGGGGCCCTGCCAGGCAGGGATGCATGTTGTCCGGGCTTCCTCTGTGGCCCAGCCAGGGCCCTGCATGGAATAGGCCTCGGGGCATGGGCCTTTGAGGCTTCACCTGCCTAGAGTGTGCCAACAGGAGGAGAAAGCTGAGGCACCCGGTGAGGACCAGGCCCCAGACGGGTCTCCAGGCTTCTGGGGGCACCCCCAAGTCCATCTGGTCAACACTGGGCTCCACAGATGCCCGTGGGACAGACAGATGGGCCATGTTTAACTGACCCGGCGGATGTGCAGTGCAGGAAGCTGAGAGCCGGGGAACAGTGAGAGGCGGGACCTGAGCTGTGTTGACAGCACCCCAATAAACCTGCCCCATACCCAGACCTGGAGGGAGCAGGGCCTATCTCCGAGGCTGGGAGCCGTGTCTGGAGCCCAGGAGGCAGAAACGTCAGTCCCCTTTCCTTCTCCCTCCCTGCTTGCCTCTGCACAAGGGACGGTGAAGTTCGAGGAGGGTCTCCCCTGAGCACCAGACTTAGCAAGTACCTTCACCGTCGCCGGGGGTGGGGAGGACCCAGGGTGCTCTGCGCTCGTGAGCTGGGTCTGCTTACTTTCTCTGCCTTGGTGGGAGGCGCCGTGCTGTGGGGCATCCTGGAACAAGCCCTGGTCGCAGCCCCCTGGGATTTGGGACCCTGGGGGATCTCCTCTCTTGGAGCCTCAGTTTCTCACCTCTAACACCATGATGCCAGTCCCTGCTTCGTGGGGTCACCGGGAGGATCCGTGGTAGCCCTGGGGCTCCCCCTCCAGCCGGTCCTCCTCGTACCTGGAGCCACGGGTCTGGCTCCAGCGCTGATGGGCCTTGCAGCGCGCTCCTGAGCTCCGATCACCCATCCCTGGTGGTGTGGCCAGTGCTTTCCCTCCGCTTCCTTGCATCTGGCCCAGATTTCATGAACTCCTGCATGAGCAACAGCACGATGCAGAGGTCAGGAGGAGGACGCTGAGGCCAGCTGGCTCGGTTCAAATCCTGACACCAGTGCCTCCTACCTGTGTGGTGTGGGCAAGTGATAGAGCCTAGCTGCACCTCAGTTTGTACATCTGTAAAATGGGAATAATGATCACACCTACCGCATAAGGCTGCTGGAGGAGTAGCCATGAAGTGCTTGGAACAAAACCTGGAATGATGTGTTCTGGGCCACGTTAGGGAGCACTAAGCCTCCCTTGTCTGTCCCCGTAGCCACCATAATACCCAGATCCCCAGTCTGGGCCTGACACGTACCACCGCCTGCCAGGCTGGGGCTCTGACCAGGCGGGGGCGCCCCTCCCACAGAGCCTCCTTAGGAGCGACCGTGCCAGTGGGAGCTGCCAGAATCTGAGCTCCAGGAAACACGGGGCAGGAACGAGGCTGGACTTCTCCAGGGGAGCTTCTCCAGGGGGTCTGGCCTTACCCTTTCACCCCACACCCTCTCCCCTCTGCATTCCCAGAGCCCCTGCCATGCGGGCTGCCCTAGGAACATTCTGGACTGGGAGGGCCCTGCAGCTGCTATTCTAGAAAGAGGTAGATTTTACTGCTTGGGCTCATCTCAGCCACAGTGGCTGCCAACTGGCCTATCTCCCCTGCCCCTGGGCTTTATCCCCTGGCTTTTCTCTGCCTGGAACACAGTCCCCCACCGTCCTTCAGCCCCCAGCTCAAGTGCCATACCTCTAGGCCTTTCTGACCCCTTTCCACCCGGCCACAAGACTTCTGGGAGCAGAGACCCAACACATGGCAAGTTAGCTCACTAAATGAACGAACGAACGAACGAATGAATGAATGAGTGAGTGAAAGAAAGTAGGCTGGACAAGGCTAGGGTACAATAGCCAGTGCTCCCTGAAGAGCTTGGATTTGGGGTGGGAGGAAGTGGGAGGTCCAAGAGCGGAGAGCTCTGGGTGGGCTGGGGCCCCGAGGCTCCCTGGAGGAGGAGGGAAGACACCTGTGGTGGGGTGAGGGGGAAAAGATGCAGGGAAGGGGGTGGCTGGGGACAAGGAAAGAGTGACTTCCAGGTTTCCCAGGCCCAGGCAGAGCTGGAGTGGGGGCAGCATCACTAACTGCCTGCCTCACATGAGTAGAGGGGACAAGGCTTGTATCCCAGCTCCTCAGCACCAGACCCTGTCCCTGCTCTTGCCTCAGCACAGGGAACAGGACCCTCAGCTGGGGTTGCTCTGCAGCTTATTGACAGAATGGAAGCACGGGGTGGGGGTGAGTGGATAAACTGATGAATGGATTGTTGAGTAGGTATTTAGATGGATGGATGGATGGATGGATGGATGGATGGATGGATGGATAATTGAATGAATTGGTTAGTGAGCTGATGGGTGATGGGTAAATAGATTGAATGCAGGGAATGTGCCAGAAATGAGAATATATTTTGATTCCAACAGCCTCTACTGTCACGGAAGTCAGAAAGAATCAGAAAAGGTCAAGTCTTTTGTACCACTTGTATGAGAAAATTAGGATTGATCTAAATTAAGACTGACTTTGTGATCCAAGGGAATATACCAGAAACCCAGGAGCTAGAAATTAGATGCGCCTTAAGGAGCAGGATGCAGCAGGCCCCTGGCTGAAGGCTTCCCGCCCACCCCTCACCCTGGGTTCTGCAGGCCATGCCACGGTGGGTGTGAGAGCCTCAGGCTGGGGTTGAGGAGCAGCCCGAGCCCTCCAGGCCCCCAAAGCCTCCTCCAGCTTCGGGGTCGTGCAGAGGCCACAGGGCTCTCTGTTCCCTGGTGTCTGCCAGTGTCCCCCCACCCTCAGCCTGGGATCCAGACTTAGGAGGGCTTAAGAAGTCACGGATTCTTGGGACAGAGCCTCGGGCGGAACGTGTGTGTGTGTGTGTATGCGCACACACGTGCGCACATGTACTCACACGGTGCATATGCCTGAGCCAGCAGACGCCCTCTGACCCATGGGCACTTCCTCGGGAAAGATTCGCAAGAAAGGGAATCTCACTTTCCTGTCTGCTCACGTTTGGAGATGGATGTAGAGAAACGCCGGCATACCCACGTCCCCAGATCCACAGGCTCTCATGTGAACACACACAAGCACAGAGAACAGACTCGCCCCCCGCCCACCCCGAAGCGTTTGGAGGGCAGCACAGAGCCACACAGACAAGCCGCTGCGGATGGACCAGACACTGGCAGGCCCACGGAGACCATCCACAGCACGAGCATGCTTTGGGCGGCCCCGCAGGCCGGTCCTGGGAAGAGACTGGGTGCATCGGCTCTGATGCCAAGAAAAGGCTCAAAATGAAGATAAATGAGGCCCTTCCAGGAGCCTTGGAGCCAGCCCAGCAGCCCATTCATCTTCATGGCCTCAGACGTGCCTGGGAAGCATTTTCCTGGGTGCAAGGGAGGGCTGGTGAGAGATCAGTCACTCCCTCTGGCCAGGTCCACTCCCCCAGGGTAGCAGGGCCTCAGGGGAACCCTCAGTCGACAAGGGGGCACTCTGCAGCAGACAGGGCAAGGGACTGGGGTGGAGTCCTGGGCAGCTTCACCTGTGGCATCCCCGGGTGGGGCAAGGGGGTGGGGGACTTTCTGAGGAGCCATGCCTCAGGAGAAGTGGCCTTTGTGTCCTTGGTCACTGCCTCCAAGGCTGCTTCCCCCCCTCGGGTCTGAAGGTGGAGAAGCAGGCCCTGGAGCCTTCAGGGGACGGGGACTTCTGCCCATCCTGGTGAGGGAGAAGTATAGGCCTTGGGACCGCAGGCAGGGGCTGGGGTGACGGGTAGGACGGATGTGTGCGTGGGACATGTGGTTCAGTGGGTTATAGGGGGAAGTGGCTGCCTCTCAGTTCATTCCCCACCTCATGGTCCTTCTTTTTTCGCCTTCCCTCACTCCAGATCAATTTTGTATTTCTTTTCAACATCGTCAGGATCCTCATGACAAAACTGCGAGCATCTACCACATCAGACACGATCCAGTACAGGTGAATGATGGGTGCCTTAACCCCCAGAGGGCAGAAGTGAGGAGGGCATCTGGGCAGGGCCCTCCAAATCCTCGTAGTCCTCAGCCAGGGAGCTTGCTTGGGGTCCCAGAAGAAACGGCCCCTGAGTGAGACCCTGCCTGCAGTGTGGGCTCAGACCAGCCTTGTCGCCCTCTCACTCCCCAGGAAGGCGGTCAAGGCCACCCTCGTTCTCCTGCCCCTCCTGGGCATCACCTACATGCTCTTCTTCGTCAACCCCGGGGAGGACGACCTGTCGCAGATCGTGTTCATCTATTTCAACTCCTTCCTGCAATCCTTCCAGGTGGGCTTTGGGAAAAGATGGGGCACCAGTGTCCTCACAGAGACCTCACACGGGACATGGTTCACACTGACACACAAGTGCATGCACACACTGAACCCCAGCCCTGGGCCCTGGCACCCCCACCCCAGGGGTCAGGCGAGCTCACCCCCTGACTGGCTCTTGGTCATACTAGCCTGCACCTACTGGTGGCCCAGCACCTGCTCTGAGGATTTCTGACAGCCTGTCACTTCCAGTGGGCCCCAGTACATCTGCACCATGAGGGGTGGGCTCCCCTCCAGCTCTGAGCCTCTGGGGTCCCGGGCCCAGGTGTTCCCAGCCATCCCTGCAGAGTGGCTCCCCAAGCAGGTCGCTGACCCCTCCCTCCTTCCTTTCCAGGGTTTCTTTGTGTCTGTCTTCTACTGCTTCTTCAATGGAGAGGTATGAGACCAGGCTCTGGGGCTGTCCTCAGTTCCCAGCCCAGTGGAGGGTCCCTGGCTCTGCTCAGCTCTGCCCTGGACAGGGAAGGGGAAGGGCGGAGGAACCACACCCAGCTTTGGGAAACAGGAATCCTGCCCAAGCGTCTCGAACCAGCTTAGAAGGTCACCTGTGCAGGCCAGAAACAATAGGCCAGCACTTCACAAAGGCACTTGGAGGGCTGGCTGGCCAGGGAGCCCAGGCTGCAGGGTCTCATGGAAGGAGGAGCCAGGTCACAGCTGGTAACAGGGGAAGGCATTCCAGGAGCGGGCCAGGTGTGAGCCGAGCACCCAGGCCTTGATGGACGCAGGGAGCAGGAAAGACACCAGCACATTCCCCCACCACAGAGCAGACCACACGCCTTGGGGCCAATGCCAGGGAACGAGGCACCAGGGACAGCCTGCTTAGCTCACAGAGCCCAGAATCTCGGCATAAGCAGCTTGGGAGAGAGGCTCACACCGACCTGTGGTCGGTGAGGACACACAGTGGGCTATGGGGCAAAGAGTAGACAGAGCCCCAGGTCCTGAGAGCTTCCAAACACTCAAAAGGAACGCCGATGCCATCCTGAGGCCCTTCCCCTGCCTATGCAGAGGGTGACAGTCGGGGGGAGGGGGATGTCTCTGCACACCTAGGTCTCTGGCAATCAAAGCAGACCTCACATAGGCAAGTCTGACAATGGAGACTGGCCGGGGCTGGAGGGCAGGGAGAGAAAGCTGCTAAAGCAAACACACAGTGCCTCTGGGGCATTTATTCTGGTCAGCCATGTGCTAGCCTAGCATATGGGGAACATAATCCGTTTTGCAGAAAACTTCTTTAGTTGCAATACGAATGAGAATAATATGGCACCAGCAACGATCAGGTTTTGAAATGACTAGAACTGTTAGCTTTCCATCTCAGCAGCACATGCTATAGCCAGTGAGGCAGGGTCCGTCAGCTGGTGGAGGGGGCCGGAGGGGGCTGGAGGAAGGGCTTTCAGGAGGGAGAGGGATGCCAAGTACGCGAGAAGAGCGCACAGCTCAGCAGGTGCCCAGGAGAGCGAGAGGCAGATGTGCGAAGCTGGTGCTTGGGTCCCACCATAAAGAGGAGGTGGCGGAGGGACGGGGCAGGGAAGGCATTGTGTCCCGAGGAAGGGTCAGCGGGGAGCTTCTCCAGGAGAGGGATGAGGACGGACGGCGGAGCTTCTGGGGCTAACGGCTTCAGGGGAAGGACCTGCTTTTGGAACCAGCCAGTCCCTCCCTGGGTGTGAGTGTGGTGGTCGGGAGGGCACCCCAGCCTCCCTTCAAGGGCCCTGCAAGGGGCAGGGAGCAGGGGAGAAGCCTCCCCATTCCCAGGACTGGCCCCCCGCAGGCCCCGCTGAGCCTCTGCCGCCCCTGCAGGTGCGCTCGGCCGTGAGGAAGAGGTGGCACCGTTGGCAGGACCATCACTCCCTCCGAGTGCCCGTGGCCCGGGCCATGTCCATCCCCACGTCGCCCACACGGATCAGCTTCCACAGCATCAAGCAGACGGCCGCCCTGTGACCCCTCCGTCACCCCACTCGCTCATCACTCCACCATCAGGACAGCTTTCCTATCCTCCTGGGGTGCCTTTCTCCGGGCTCACTTTGCCACCTCGCCGCTCGGGCGCTGGTGGGGGCGGGAGGGAGGGCAGACGTCAGCTGGCCCGCCCTGCCGGCTGGAGAGAGGCGTGTGGCAGCAGGCTGTGCGAGAGGCTCTCAGGAGCCAGGCCCGCTAGGCCCAAAGTCTCAGTGCAGAGGGATGGCACAGGGGCCACACACACCCCCCGACCCCTGAAAAGAGTGGGTCACATGTCTTCAGGCATTTGCCCACACCAGCCTCTCTCCCTGCATCCTCACTGTAGCCCCATTCACAGGCGGGGAAACTGAGGCCCAGCGCCAGGAAGGGCCTGCCCGAGTCACACAGCTCGTCCGTGGCAAGCGGGGGCTCCCCTCTGTGAGGGCCTTCCCACCAACAGCAGGGTGACATTAGGCCTTGCTCCCTGCTCCCGGCCTTTTGCCTCCTTGCTCAGGGCTGCCCTCTGCAGTGGAGGGGGGGGCGGTCACAGCAACTGGAAGCAAAGAATTAGTTTTGCTTTCTCCCAGGGGCTCTCACCTACACCCCAGCCCAGAGCAGGCCATCTCTCTGCCCCTCCCCAGCCATCTCTGGGGTCCTAGGAAGGATGCTACTTCCTGTCCCGGGACATCTCTTCTCGGCCTAGTCCACAGACTCAGAGCCTTGGGGAGGGACACGTGGGGAAGGAAGACATAGCTAGGGCAACCAGATGCATAGTGCAGATGAAACGAGGAGGAGAAGCATGGTGGCCGGGGGCAAGGAGTAAGAAACCAATTAGGTCTTTGGTGACTAGAAGAATCTCCCAGCTCCCACCACAGACCGGGCTTCATTTCAGCCTCCCCTTCAGAAATATCTCGGCTCTCTGTGAAATAAACCATGCCTCTGTGGAAACAGCTTCCCCGCAGGTCAAGTCAACCAGACATACGAAGGGGTGCCGTGGCCAAGGATGGGGGGGCTGGATCCTCTCTCGTTTGCAGAGCGCATGGCCCTGGTCCAGGGCTGGTTCTCCTCTCTGACCTGTGTGTCTGCAGGCCTGTCCCTTACTCCCCCAAGACAGTCTCTACCCCTCCTCTCCTACCGAGGGCAGTTTAATTCACCACAGAGGAGAGGCAGCTCGCCCAGCACGCCACAGCCCAACCCAAAATGTTCTAAAATCCAGAAGCAAGTGTAGACAAGACCCCACAGTATTTGTGAACAACACCATGAGGAAGTTTCCAGGAGAGGGTGGGAGTGGAGGAAAGGAGGCTAGAGCCATCAGGTCAGGGTTCAAAAGGGCTTTTGCTCTAGGAATACCCGCAACGTATTTTTTTTATTATTATTATGTATCCCATCTTGCATATTTTTCAGTTGCCATCTAATATTTTTTTCACATTTTTTAAATTGGTGAGAAAGGTGATTTCTAGCTTTTAGCAAATATTTACACTTTTAAAATAAAACTGCCACAACACTTTAAAGTATATCATTCAGAATCCAAACACAGCTGTGATTTAATAACCAGCCTCTTTTGTTTGAAAAAAACAAGCTAACCAGCTCTTCCTCAAGAGCTGGAAATTTTACGTTGTTCCTTTTCTCTTTGAACTTGTGTCTTCATCCCATTTCCCCCACAGAATTTTATACTAATGCAGTATTTTTATGGTTGAAAGTCTTTCCTTGCTCACCTTATCATACTTCTCTGCCACAAAATATATTTAGAAATTGAAATAGAATTATTTAATTTTCTGTGACTAAAATTTGTAAAGAGTTTTTTTAAAATAACATCTTCTGGATTGAGTTATCACAACTACTTTTGATATAAAACATAGGGTACAATTGATTAATACAACACAGACACTGAAAGTTTTTGTAAGGCAAATGTAAAGCCTTACAAAAGGAAAATTGATTGAAAACACATCTTAATGGAATGGATAGGAATTTAATTGTTCATGAATCCGTGGGTGAATATTTATTGCTGGAATGAATCAGGACTCAGCATCTTTTCTTTCTTTTTCATTTTTATAGCTCCACACGCTGAGAATGAGAAGCTTTTTCACATAAATAAGTAGATGTCACTCAGGTCTCGGACCTCCTTCTGAGACGTATGCCAAAAACTGCATAGTGATCTACCATCCAAAATTATGCGTCAGCCCACCACTTGATTAAGTCCTCTTTAAATTTGGCTGAAAGAAATGAAAACCACCTGACTTGCCAAAGGCTTGACTACCCCATGGGCAGCTGAGCGGGAGAGGTTAATGGCTGGGCGGGGCCCCGGCTTTGCCTCGGTCCGCAGGAAGGCAGTGGGGCTCCCTGCCTTTGTGCTTTCTTGCGTGTCTTGTAAAGCCTCCCTGTGTGCTCAGAGGCGGTGCACAGGCCGCTTCTGTCAGCATCCTGGGGGTGCTGGTAGAGCAAGCAGCTCGGTGCTCATCGGAGGTCCCGGCCACTCATCACCGCTCCGCAGATGCGGCTCCTCGCCCCACAGCCCTGTTCCCCAGCCTGCAGAGCATCAGAGTCACGGACCTTTGCTCAGCAGGCAGTCTGGCCTGGTCCCTCCTCAGAGGAGGCCCCGCCTCGGTTCCTGCACTGACCGTGCATCCGCTCATCCCTGGGGTCCTCAGTCATGCCCCACGCCAGGCGCTGGCTGTGAAATGCCACCAGAGCCATTAGACCCTCTGTGGGTCCCGCCCTGGTTAAACTCGTCAGGCACCTGCTCCTCACACCACGCCAGGCCTTGTGAGCATCTGCTTCCGCGGCAGTCCCTCGCCGAGCTGGCTTTCCTGGCAAGTGGCCTTGTTGGCGGATGCCCCTCCTCGGTAGGCAGGTTCTGGCACCCGGACCCCTCAGGGCCCTCTCACCCCCCGGATTGGTAAAGCCGAGGAAGGCTTGAGACCGCAAGGGTATGCCTCAGTCCAGCCTTCTGGCCCCACTCCCGGTGAGAGACCACAGAGCCCTGACCCCAGCACGGCTCCAACGCCTGGCCTGTTAGCAAAGCGGGGCCCTGGGGGCCCTGCAGGGGTCTGAGCCTGCAGACGACAAGGAGCAGGCGTGGAGCGTCTGTGCGGTGGGCAGCGGAAGGTGCGGATGACATGTCCCTGCTGGAGTGGCTGTGGTGGGGGTTCCACCTGAGGGCTGCAGCCGCAAGCTCCCCGCTCTGCTGGGAAGGAGGCTGGCTAGCAGCAGAAAGGATGGACTTCGAGTGGAATTAAGAGGCTCGCGGAAACTGACCACCAACACGTGGACGTACGCAGCGGGAGGCACACACAGAGGCTCACGGAGTGGAGGCGAACACGGGGAGGCCCAGAGGGACACTGAGAGACTCCCGGGGACACGCAGAGGGGCACCCAGACACCAGATGCACATGCGGCCACCAGTCAGTCGTTCCCCATTTACTGAGCACCCCTGTGTGCCACGTAGGGAAATAACAGCACGAATAACACAAGGTTCCTGTTCCAAGAAACTCAGAGTCTGCTTGAGAAGAAATAGCTCCCCAACGGCACCAGGTAAAAGCAGGAGAAAGGATGTGCTCTGTGTCCCTCCCTGACTGGAGGTGCCAGTGTCCGTTTCCGTCTGCTGTGGTGACGAGGAGAGGATCAGGCCTAAGGACGGAAAACAAGTCAGGTTCTGCGGCTGGCGCTTTCCTCCGCTCCCTGCATTTTCCACGTCTCTGAGACCACGCCCGTGGTGGCCTCAAGCCAGACAAGGTTTGGGGGACACAAGAACCTCAGCTGCCCTCCCCTATGCCCTGCCCATTTCCCATAGTCCAGGGCATCCCGGACTGTCACAGAGACAGACAGAACTAGAAAAGGAGCCCAGTGTTTGCTGCTCTTCCTTCCTGAGCATCTTCTGGGCGCCGTGGGCAGATGGGGCACATGGACAGGGAGGCAATGGGCTGGGAAGGGGGGCTGTCACACAACAGGTCGCCCCCTTCACATGTCTGAGGCTGACACAGGGCGTGCCTGGGGGCTGCAAGAAACAAGGGGAGTCCTTTCCTAGAGTGACACTTCAGCCAGGATGTGGGAGAGGTCTGTGGAAAAGAGCTGTGTCTCCTGCCAGGGGGCCTGGCCGGGGTCCCACTGCTCTGAGAACACACCCGGGTGGCTCGTCAGAACCAACGGGGCTGCTCTTCGAGAGCAGACTTTGGGAACTGTTGTTTCCAGAGTGGGTGGGATCTAGGAATCTGCACGTTCACAAGCCCCTCAGGTGTTTCTGTTGCTGTCTGGTGTGGGAGCCACTGAACTAACAAGGAAACATCTTGTCTCTCCTTTCCAAAACACACACACACACACACACACACACACACACGTACTACTATAGAAAGGGAAGGTGAGTGACCTGACCTGCCTTTCTGGAAACCTCTAAGGGAAGGCAGCTATAGCAGGAGGAAAGAGGCAGGTACAAAACATGTAAGTGTATTCACCAATATGCTTATTATGGCTTCCAGCTCTGCCCTGGAGATGCCACTAATTCTCCTGAGGGAGCCGCCCCACTTAGAGATGTTAGTTAGCAGGAGTGGGCTGAGAGCGCGCTGGGATCACTGCCCCGTGTTGACTGAGTCTCCCCCAGATACTGTTAGCGATTGCTTTACTCAGAGCCTGAGGCCCTCCCACAGAGCTGCGGCATGTTTCCCCCACCACAGAACCACCAAGTGGACTCCATCTAGCGAATCCTGTCCATTCTACAGGACCCAACCCAAAGAGCCTCTTTTCTAGGAAGCCTTCCTACCAGCATCAGTCAGACAAGTCCCCCAGGAAGCCCCTATGACAATCCTTGCCAGGCTCCACTGCCAGGCTGGGAACTGCTCAAGGCCTTACGTCCACAGCAAGAGCTCTGCTCCCAGTAGGAGCTCTAGAAACATTCACTGAATAACCTGGCCTTTCGTATTTGTTCCACAGAGCTGGTAACTCACAGCGGGAGTCCAGTGCTGGCAGGACAGACCAAAGGTGCAAAGAATCCCAGAGATCTATTAGCTTTACACTGGGGGAAAATCCATTCTCCAGCTCCAGACACCCACCCCCCCCACCAGAGCCCGGGGGCCAGGCCCAGCCTGAGCACATCCCCTCCCCATGTGCAGGCAGAAAATCGGAGGAGAGCCTCTCCATCATTCCAAGACTTCCCTGCAGGTGTCCAACCGTTAATCTCACGCCGTGCGTGGGGCCCCATGCCTTGATGGGCCCTGACTTCCTGCTGGTTGGAGGTAGGGGACCAGACCTGTGCCCCCGCTGTCTAGGGGTGTGCCCGCGGTCCTCTGCTAGGCGAGTGGAAGCACCTCTCCCAACGAAGGTCCTGGCTTAGACAATTCACTTTATGATCACCCTGCTTAAACCTCACATTTGTCTGAGGACGCAGCAGGGGCCACAAATGCTGCTTGGAGAAATGAATGATGAAAGCCAGGGCCCCCAGAAACTTCGAAGTGTTAGCTACTGCACTTTGGAAAGAGAACCCAAGCAGAGGGATCTTCCGAGGCCAAGTCCTGTATCCAGTCTTGATACCTGCTGGTTGGACAAATGAGTGAGCAGGCAGGGGCATCAGCTCTGGAAGAAAACCATCCCTCTGCTTCTGCTGTGAAAACAAGAAAGTAATTAATTGTGGTTCATAATTAGTTCTACAGGGCACCAAGTGGAGCCTTCTCTGGCTCCCTCAGGCCCAACCGCGTGCAATGAACAATCCAGCATCATGGATCCCCATGGAGGCCCCTCTGCCCGAGAAGATAGAGAAATTCAGACTTGTCATTTCTTCCTGCTTCCCCCAGGTCCGGTCTCCGTGTCCTCTGGAGAAGGCGGGTGGTGGACCCAGGAGGGATAGGGACCCTTTCCTTATTCCTCCAGCTTGGCCCAAATAGCTTGTCCTTCCAGGGCTTTCCAAAGCGTGCACTATGGACCCTGTGCCTCTAGTCCCTAATGAACTCCCCCAGCCCTGTGGCTCCACATCCATCTCAGTCCTCGGTTTGAAACAGATTCTGGGCTATCCCCCACCCCACACCCTCAACATTGCACACCTAAACGTTAAGGTCTTTATGATGCGGGATCCTCAAGCGTGAAGGTCAAGAAAGAATTCTTGAGGCGTTTCACGGTGCAAAAATGTGCTTTTATTAAAGCACAGGGACAGGACCCGCAGGCAGACGGAGCTGCACTTGTGAGTGTAAGGAGTGATTGATTATATACTTTGTAGTTTAGTTAGTGGGGATTAGGGCTAAGTCTCTAAGGAATTTGTGTATGTTGAAAGTGAGGTTTACAGGATCTTGGAGTTCTGGCTATTGTCAAGATAAGGTTACCCTTTCTTATCTAGTAAAACATGAGTCATGAGACCCTTGAAGAATGTCATGTTCTACGTGTCTCAGATGTGCATCAGTGGGCCCCGTGTTGTATATGGTTTATTCTTAGTCATATTCTTCCTGCCTTTTTTTCCCTCAACATTTCCATTGGAAGGAATGAGAAAAAGGTCCTTCCTTGGAAATGTGGATTCTTTTCCCTACCTAGAAAAATACAAATATATGAAATGTACAAATATTATGCATTAAATAGTGCAGGAAAATTTCTAAAGAAATCCTCAAAAGAACCACAGACCCAAGTTTAAAAGCCCGTGACCTCAAGATAAGAGAAAAACGCTCTCATGTAGCTAATTAAAGAGTCTCCCACAATGGCGGCGCTCCAGCCTGCCTGTGTTAGAGGCAGCAGGGCATTCTGCGTCACACAGGTTTGTGAGCCCACTCCAGACCTCCTGAAACACAATCCCAGGGGGTGTGAATTCACAC